GACGGTCGACCCATCGCTCGACACCACTGAACATAAACAAAATTATAAACACACTTGTGTTTATATTTAGAATTGTTTTCGTCAAATCTTAAATTTGAAATTACTACACTTGAATACCGCATTAGTTGTTTTGAAATAGTTTCTCGAGACTCCAATTCAGAAAACTGGAATTTATAAAACAGTTTTCTGTGTTAGGTTTATCGACAGAAATATACAGGCATGGCCAAAATTATTGCGGTTTTATCTATTGGAAAGATTTGGGGATTCTGTGAGGGAGATCGATTTTTTTTAAAGTTTTTGCCAAGATTTAACCATCATCAATAATATTACAAAAACAAGGGTCCGAAAAATTAATTTTCTCACAAAGCCAAGGTACCTAAACCCTCGAAGGTGTATATATTCCCAATCTACATAAAATTTCCTACAAATTCTGAAACTTTCATAATTTTATGACTATGTTTACTATTTTTCTAAGGCCTTTGAAACTTTGACTTTTTTCCATACATATGCTCATGAAAATTGGCGATTTTCGTCATATCACGGATTTTGTTGAAACTGCTGTTATTTATTAATTAAAAGGTACAGAATAAGAAAATATAGGCCACTGTAGTCATACAACAACAGTAATAGATATAGGGGTCATTTTAGCCTTCATTAAAAACAGTTCAAACAAAGTTTTATCACAAAGCCTAGGTACCTAAGCTTTCAAAGGTATATATTCTGAATCTACATAAAATTTCCTACAAATGCTGAAACTTTCATAATTTTATGACTATGTTTACTATTTTTCTAAGGCCTTTGAAAATGTGTAAAAATAGGCAAAAATTGGGACTTTTTTCCATGCATATGCTCATGAAAATTGTCGATTTTCGTCATATCAGGAATTTTGTTGAAACTGCTGTTATTCATTAATTAAAAGGTGCAGAATAAGAAAATATAGGCCACTGTAGTCATACAACAACAGTAATAGATATAGGGGTCATTTTAGCCTTCATTAAAAACAGTTCAAACAAAGTTTTATCACAAAGCCTAGGTACCTAAGCTTTCAAAGGTATATATTTTGAATCTACATAAAATTTCCTACAAATGCTGAAACTTTCATGATTTTATGACTATGTTTACTATTTTTCTAAGGCCTTTGAAAATGTGTAAAAATAGGCAAAAATTGGGACTTTTTTCCATGCATATGCTCATGAAAATTGTCGATTTTCGTCATATCAGGAATTTTGTTGAAACTGCTGTTATTCATTAATTAAAAGGTGCAGAATAAGAAAATATAGGCCACTGTAGTCCTACAGCAGTAATAGATATAGGGGACGTTTTAGCATTCATCAAAAATGGCTGAAAAACAAGGGTCCACGAAATAAATTTTATCACAAAGCCTAGGTACCTAAGCTTTCAAAGGTGTATATATTTTGAATCTACATAAAATTTCCTACAAATGCTGAAACTTTCATGATTTTATGACGATGTTTACTATTTTTCTAAGGTCTTTGAAAATGTGTAAAAAATAGGCAAAAATTGGGACTTTTTTCCATGCATATGCTCATGAAAATTGTCGATTTTCGTCATATCAGGAATTTTGTTGAAACTGCTGTTATTTATTAATTAAAAGGTGCAGAATAAGAAAATATAGGCCACTGTAGTCCTACAACAGTAATAGATATAGGGGACGTTTTAGCATTCATCAAAAATGGCTGAAAAACAAGGGTCCACGAAATAAATTTTATCACAAAGCCTAGGTACCTAAGGTTTCAAAGGTGTATATATTTTGAATCTACATAAAATTTCCTAATAAATGCTGAAACTTTCAAGATTTTATGACGATGTTTACTATTTTTCTAAGGCCTTTGAAAATGTGTAAAAAATAGACAAAATCTTCGACTTTTTTCCATACCATAAAAAAATGGTGACATGACGAAAATCGCCAATTTTCATAAGTACGAGTATATATTAGGAGATACAATAATTTTGGCCATATCTGTATATATGTATTTGTTGATATATCATTGGGCTTTAGAATAGAAAATGTTATATAGAGTGTTTTGGGATAGATGCAGGTATAAGATTTATTCCGTTTCCTTTCTTACAAATGAAAGAAAAACACGTCGACAAACGTGACAGTTCGGAGCTGTGTTTTGAAATCCGAAACGTTCCTAAAATGTGTGTCTCACTTCGTATTATTCTAGGCTTGTTTTTGTTGTTCTATTTTCCTTTTTTGTTTGTCTGCAGCCTATGAGAAAACAGAGCAGTTGAAAACATAAAAGGTCCGCGGCCCGGCCCTAGATTCAGATAGGTACGCCAGATGCCGTTTTATTTACTTATAGGGCAAAGGGGCCTACAAAATAAATATATACCGAGGCTTTTAAAAAAGAAGAACTTCCCTAACATAAATACCTAGTATTATAAAACTAATAATATTCTAGTTTTGTATATAAAAAAAAAACAGAATAATTATAATATTTACTTATGATACTTCATGATTTTTAACATATTTCACAATGTCCATTTGCGGTAGAATTTCGTGTTTTTTTCTTTTGATATTCACTAAACCCATTGCTATAATTAATAAAACCGCAGGAAAAAAACTTCGACAGTATAGTCTAGTTTTTAAACCGTCTTATCTGACAGGTTAAACGTTATGTGTAGCCGGGGCTTAAGAGAGATACGATATTTTTCGGAATAAATCTGATCGATTGTTGAAAAAGAAGAATAAAAAGGGTTTGCCACGCCACTGTGGCGATTGCTCGTTCACATTTGAAAAAAGAGTTGGAAGGCTGTTTGATTTTGTTTACAGTGACATTTTGAGGGGTGACATTTTTGTGTTTGTACTGCTCCACGTAAAAAAGTGTGGAAAAATCAAATAAAAAGAACCGAGCCTGGGTTTCGTCGTGGCCTATACGTCAACGTAAGGAAACAACTGGTTTTGTAATTTTTAGTTTCCTTCGAAATTCACAAATAAATACGATAAAAAAACAATAGGCTGTTGACTTCCATTGTTTTACAGATTAAATGTATTTTTAATAATAAATAAATAATATACACGTACCTACCGTATTTGCCAACAGATTTGTCACGTTTTGTATATATGTACGTTTATTATAACTTATAAATAAAAAAAAAATATTATTCTTGAAACATCAAAACGTATGTAGGTAAAAAAAATCCTAAAAAATATCTCGCGAATCTAAACGTCCTCATTAATTAACGTTTTTTAATTTATTCTAATTTAAAGAAACTCGCATTAATATTTAAGATATGCCTTGCAAGCTTATATAATATGTTTGCAGATACACAAATTTATGTGTACATGAATAAAGCGAATTGTTTAATGAAGCTGTTAACAACATAATAAAATATTCAAATGTTTACTTAAATAAATTATTATTGTTCAAGTAAAAATGTTATTAGTTTTTGTCTACAAAACTTTACACGTGGCATCAAGGTGTTTAGCTGACAAATATTAACATTTTCGTTATAATAAATAACATAAATATATAGAAATATACATAAAAACTCTTCTTTTCTCGACGGAAATATAGTTTTCAAAGTCGGGACTGTCAAATAAAATTTTATTTTCCACTTTATGTGTTTATATAAAAACAAACTTTTTAATGCTTTTCCAAGTTTCTGAGGAGAAAGTTTCAGATACAAAGACTTTTTGGTTTATTTAGCCTTGACAAACAAAGATTTTATCTAGTACAGATTTAAATTAAATATATTTACGTAAAAAATCATTATTATTTCGTGACAATGTCATACATAAATATTTTATGAATAATAATTAATAAAACAATTTTTTATTGCTAATAAAATACAATTGTTACACCGTTGGCGGAAGCAACAATCACAATTTTAAGATCAATATATTGATTCCGGTGAATAAACTTATTTCCTTCATGATTTTTCACTGTCTTTAATTTGAAATATTTTGATAACGCTAAATAATTTTATTGAGTCAATATAGAATATGAGTTTCAGAATGATCACGATCCTGCCCGTGTGTCGCCACCTTCAGACGAAGAAGTATTTTTTGCGGGAGATTCAAATTATTTACAATTTATATACGGTAAATACCAATAAAGACTTAATATTGACAATATTGATATTGATAAAATATTCTTGAATATTATATCAGAAAGTAACTTTGGACAGTAAAGTATTTAAACAAGATGTTAGTTTATATTAAACAACTGTTATAAATTTTCAATAAAAAAAACACTAATTCAATACAGAGACTTTTGGATCTATGACTTACAAATACTTCTAACCATCTCTGATATACAGGGTGGGTCCTTAAATAAGGGCAAATATTTTCAGGGCTGACAGGGAATAAAAGAAACATATTTTCCCTTTGCCCTTTTTCAAATAAGTCCAAAATAACCGAGTTGTTTTACTTTGAAAATTAAAAAAAACGATTTTTTGCTTAGATTTTGAGAACTACTGGATATGTTCTGGGTTTTCTTTCTTGCAAATTTAATCTACTCCCTATGTTGCCATATTATCCAGAAATTAGTTTCTTAACTTAAAACTGAAAAAAGTTTTTTTTCAAAAAATTCCAAATTTTTCAAAATTTTTGAAAATAGTAATAGTTTGGATAACATTTAGGTATTTATTCTGTTTTGATTCTCCTGAATAAGGTGAAGGTATTTGGAACATTATAAATAATTTCTTTCGGTATAATAAAAGACATGGGCGTCCTAAAAATTCTTGTATTTATGAGTTACAAATACTTCCAACTATCTTTGATAGATATTGGTTTGTTTTCTAAAAAGAAGAAAATAGTAGGAAGAATATGAGTTAGGTACTTAAACTGTTTGAATTCTCCTGAATAGGGTGAAGTATTTGGAATATTATGAATAATTTCTTTCAGTATAATACAAGACCGAGTTACAATAACTATCTTTGATAGATATTGGTTTGTTTTAATAGTAAGAATAAGAGTAAGGAGAGCTTAAACCTTATTAGTTTTTCTGAATAAGGAGAATATGAGTACTTACTTCCAGTGTTACCTACGAGACATAACCGTTATCGCAAAAAAATTGTCAAAATCAGTACAGCGAAGGGAGGAAGTTGTTTTAGTTCCTGTCAAACAACTGTCACTAATCCATCCACTTGTGTCACTCGCGGCAAAGTCGCGCGGCGTTACGTAACGCATAAAAGAGCGGGCTTTTCGAAAAGTGAGGTTAGGATGGGCGACGGCCGAATACGGACCAGTAGCGACGGACTCGGAATCTCTCCGCAAGCCGACCGAACTGACGGCGCGTTGTTGGATTCATACTGAGAGCGTACAGATACATACGTACACGCTTATGCGGCACACATAATGTGCCGTGTTGTTTACTGTTTACTTGTCTGCTCGCTCGCCTCACCCGTATGAGAGATGTTGTTTACACAGTTATATTTAGAGTTAGAGAAATGCAAAAGCAAACCAACTACACCTGCCTCGTCGGCTGGATATCATCCCGCAGGGACGTATTTGTGGATTATCCTTGACGGTCGCTTTAAGCCTTTATTTTCACAGCACAGGGCTGGACTCCACTTTTTTCCCACCCGAATTTCCATTTTACCATTTTTTCTCTAATTATTATTTTTTTTCCAATAATTTTGTAACGCTGATGACAACTTAATTTTATTATATTTTTTTTTAATAAAAATAATAAAATATACAGGGTGAGTCTTAAATAAGTGCAAATATTTTCAGGGCTGGTAGATCTCGATAAAAGAAACATATTTTCTCTTTGTCGTTTTTCAAATAAATCCAAAATAACCGAGTTATTTTAATTTGAAAATTTCTAAAAAAAATAATTTACTAAAATTTTGAGAACCACTGGATCTTTTCTGGATTTTCTTTCTTGTAAATTTAATCTACTACCTATGTTGCCATATTATCAACAAAATGTGTTTTTTAACTAAAAACTAAAAATATACTTTTTTCCCACCCAAATTTCCATCTTATCATTTTTTCTCTAATTATTAATTTTTTCCAATAATTCTGTAACGCTGATGACAAAACCCAACTTAATTTTATCATATTTTTTTAATAAAAATAATAAAATATACACAGTGAGTCTTAAATAAGTGCAAATATTTTGAGGGCTGGTAGATCTCGATAAAAGAAACATATTTTCTCTTTACCGTTTTTCAAATAAATCCCAAATAACCGAATTATTTTACTTTGAAAATTTCCAAAAAAAATCATTTTTTGTTAAAATTTTGAGAACCACTTTCTCTAGGATCTTTTTCTGGATTTTCTTTCTTGTAAATTTAATCTACTACCTATGTTGCCATATTATCAACAAAGTATGTTTTTTAACTGAAAACTAAAAATATTTCCAAAAAAAATCCAAATTTCCAAAAAGAAAATTCGCGAAAAAAACCTCATAATCGTGTTTCTGGAGTCGAAAAATATTTTCACTTACTTAAGACTAACCCTGTATTGTAGTATAATAATCTAGGGTTGTTCAACAAAGTTGAAGAGGTAATATTTTGACCAGCAGTATAACAAACAGTTTAAATGAAATAAAAGAACCTACGTTGTGTTAAAATTATTTTTTATTGTGACTTACAATTGACTTGAAATTTGTAAATAGCCCTATTTATTTTATTAAATTATTTTTAGAGAGAGGTTTTGTTAGTTAGCTGGTCCCCATCTGCAGGTACTGAGGTGGTGAATTGAGTACAAGTACTGAGGCTTTGAATTATTAACAGCATAAATCGAATCCATTATATACATACACATGTTATACAATATAAGTATCAGATGAAATAAATCAGGAAAAGCTTTAGCACAGAATATTACAACAGGAAAATAAGGGAGGAAAATAAATAAAATAATGAGGAAATATTTACTTTGTTTTTAATAACATAATTTGTCACAATAACCAAAATTTACAAACCAAAATAACATCAATGCGTCTCGAAAGGTAGTCTCAAAGCTATTACCTAACATCTACCATCTCTGTTCATTGTCTGATGGGAGGGGGTTAAAAATCGTAACTCCAAAATTACAGTGGCTAGCGAAACGCGGTTTTCAATTTAAGATTAGGAATAATATTTGCAATAAAATTTGTAATAACATAAAAATCAATCAAAGTCGCAGTTTTTGAGATAAAAAAATTGGAAAAATTCCTTTACTTTGAAACTGAAAGAACTGCCTACCAATTTTTTATTAACATATTTTAGTTTGGGCGGCTATACGTGCCTCCCCGGCGCCAATTTTTTCCTTTCCTTAAAAAAATCTATACAAACGAAAATGTTGAATTATGGAATATAGATTAAATTTGATTGTTTGTATATAATTTTAATTACAAAATTTCTATTTTTTATGTAGAATTCGCTATTAATTTAATGGGACTCATCATTTCTAGAAATTTTATTAAATAATTAAACTTTATTACTTTTTTATAGACTCGAACTCAAAGTTGTAATACAGTAAAAGGCAACATATCAGTCGCATTCACGCATCCAATTTTTACACATTTATTTGTTACAGATAAAAAAAGGCCACGCTTGTCACCAACAAATTATTGTGTTTATCTTAAGTAAATAAATTTGAAATAAAATCAATTAGTGGGAAATATCGTAGTTGTACAGGACCGGTTTAGAATTTACATCAATTTTAACGTCAATTACAATTCATCTTTAGAGAAAAATATGCATATTTGTTTCGGAAAATTTTACTTATTTATACAGTCCTTTTCAAAAGAAATCGAAACTACATAAAAATAGATTGATTTATCGATCTATCTAATATTAAACGATTCCTGAAAAAAGAGCTGATCTGCGCCCCCTGCATGCGATTATACTGGCGATATCATCTTCAAAGGTGCGAAATTATTATAAGGGCTGTATGTGAGTTTAAGGGTGGAATCAACCCCACGGAGCCTCGATATTACTGTCAGCTCAATCGACTGTGCAAAACCCTATTTAGAAAAAAGTTGCTTATAAAAGCCGATTTCGGAGGCAATATTTTTTAGGCCGTATTAGAGATTTTCTTTATTTATAATAAGGATAGAGGAATTACAATATATGAGCCTTAACCTTACCCCATTCTATATATAATTAATAGATTTGGTATATGAGAAATTAATGTCTCTATCTTCTGTGGCGGATTCATCTCTTCACAAGAGTCCTATGGGTATTTCGGCACTGTAAGAAAATCTACAAAATAAAATAGTTATTTTTGTAAAAACTGCTGCGTTAATCCAACGGAGACCAACTTGTCAGCAGTGATTTACTAGGAAGTATATCTCTTCCCGTCGTCGGAAGCAAAAAAAACACAAAAGACCGAAGAAAAGCTATTTACAATATCTAAATACAACTATTCATGAACACTTTAGAATACTTTTTTTCAACATAATGAAGTCTATTATTTTTTTCTCCAAGTATATGGTTGTGGAGGAATTGTCATGGAAAGCTCTTACAGAGAAATCCGCCAAGTGAAACGGTGTATGTTTACGTTTAGGGTTCGAGCCCGGGGGGATCGCGGCTTGTATTTGTACTTTTACATAACTAACTAACCACTTTAGCGTTGTTAAAGTTAGCTTTAAGTTTGCTGACTTGTCGTACACTTTCTTGGCAAACAGCGCACCGACCTGCCTCTGACCTTTCACCCCTCATCCCTTTGTCTTTCGCGCGTTTCCATGCAACCACCATCTATTCAACCATTCTATTAAATAAACGGTATTACCACAATTTTCTTATTATTGAAACAAAAACTATTTTAAACTTAATATTTAAAGAGCTGATTCTTGGATCTATTCACATAATACTTCATATGACGATATTATGTGAATAGTTCCTAAACATCTTAACTTTAAAAAAAATGGTAAAATTTTCTAGTTCACATCTGTCAATTATACGAGGGAAAACAAAATGTTGATATTTTGGTGAAAATTTGAAACACCCTGTGGAATATGTTAAGACAGCAGGTTATTTAAAAATGATTTTATCAGCTAGGTTCATCTTTTCTCTATAGTTTATTTTTTGGTTCATTTCAGAAAAAAATCTTATTTTTTTATTATTTCTTTTATTTTTTATTTTTTTATTTTTTTAACAGAACGTCAACGGTTTTTGTGAAGCATCTGTAAAAAAAACTAAAGTGTTCTCGAATTTCGTTGCATTTAGATATTTTAAATAGTTTTCTCTTTGTTCTTTGTATTTTTTTGCCACTATTATTATGCCACTGCTGTCAATTAGTCTCCATTGGATTAACGCAGTAGTGTTTACAAAAAATAACTATTTTATTTTGTAGGACTTTTTTGAAGAGATGAAGCCGCCACAGAGGTACAGACATTTGTTACATTCTACATTGCTGAGGAGAGGACTTTTATTAGTAGTGGGAACTATCGAATGAATACTATCGAAACATTCGATAGTTGCAATTCATTCGAATAATTCGATAGTTAGTAAGAAAACATTCGTTGAAAACTATTCGAATAAAAATTATCGAATAGATCCGTCATCTGCCTTGAAATATTGTATTCTAGTAATTCGGCAGCAAAAACCATTCATTTATAAAATTCATTCATTTATGAAATTCATTTATTCGTCAGGATCGATTATAATAAAATATTAACTGAATTTTAGTTGTCGCCCGGCGAAGTAGGTTTCTTTCCGAGAAACCCGACAGCGGTCGGTGGCAATGCTATGAAAGAAGCCGGCATCTTTAATTTTTTGCGGAGTCAGATATAGATAAGGACACATTATTTTTTTTATTGAGGTGCTAGTATTTACACAGAAAATACATTATGAAGGGCGCTGTTGCCATATTTTGATATTAGTTGATATTAGCAAAGATTATTGTTTGACTTTAGTTAGTTAGGGATAGTATATGTTTATATATTCTGCATTTTTTTATTAATATTCTGTTGTTACACTGCAATAATACTTGTTATTTTGGATGTAGGAAAATGATTTTTAATGTTTTTAAGCAAAGACTGGTTTAATAAATAATTATAACAGTAATAATTTGTTATACCTATTAACAACAAAATTTAAAATCATTTAATATAAATATTTTTTTAAGTAGTAGCAAAATATAAACAACAAATTAGATGTCAAAATTATTTATATTAGATCCTATTTAAAAATAATATAGTCTCTAAATTTTTTGGGGGGCAACGTTGGTTTATTAAATAATAATAATAATAATTACAGAACTAATTTGTTATATTAACAACAAATTTTAATATCATAAAATATAAACATTTATTAATTTTCTAAGCATACAGTGTAATGGAAGAAAAATAGAAATAAAAATTATTTATATTAGGTGCTTTATATTACTGTTTAAAAATTATATTTACTTTTACTGGCATTTACTTTAAAAAATAAAT